AACACTAAATACTGTTGTTTGTTCTGTCATTGGGATAGTAGAGCCAAATGCAATCACTATACTAAATGTGATTAGCCAAAAAGAAAGGTACAATCGATTGGTCAATTCAATATAGTTCACGAGCCCTTGATAGCGCTTAATAAAATCATGCTTCCCGATTTACATATCAAACTTGGTGTTGTTAAGAATTACATCAAACAGTTGGTTAGAGTCAACGAAACTGCATTCCTATATTTGAAGAATAATGCCTTTCCAAAACTTTCCGTTGAAAAAAATCCGTGAAGGTAGTTTTTGATTGTATATGAGTGAAAATCTCTCAAGTGGTTGTAAACCGAATAAAGTGATTTGTGCGAAAATATCTTGACCGTCCAATTTTGGGTGGGATATTTTCGCTCATATATTTTATTATAACTCTCTCTTGCTTTAAGAACCCTATAATTTTTATTTCAGGTGTGCTTAATGGGCCGGACATCAGAAGATTAATGAAGGATCAAGGCTTCTTGGAAATTCTTGATGGCACAGCAGCCGTTGCATGGGATGCAGTTCGTTCTTTAATTAAACACGTTCTGTGTAAAAATCGTTCACCAGAATATGCTATTTTTATTGCGAACTTGATGGAATCTTTTGACGCCTTTGGTGTGCACATGTCGCTTAAAATCCACATGCTACACAGTCACTTTCACTTTTACGATCAACAGCTTTCAACAGAAACCGACGAGGTAGGAGAGAGATTTCACCAATCCATTATGTGTTTTCACTGGAAAACGATTGAAATCAATGTTGGCGGACTTTTGCTGGTCGATCGCAGGAGGAAAAGGATATTAAAAAAATTATTCGAGCAATAGAAACTAGCAAAATATGCAAACGTGATTGAAGAGAACCCAAATTTAGGTCCAAATAGTATATAAACTAATATAAAAAATATTAGGAAATAAAATATGAGTTGTAACGCACAACCACATATCTCAACAATAAGTTCTATGGGAGCTATATATTATAGTGAACCAATTTCCATGATTTTCAGAAATAGCTAAGGTAATCAGCCCAATTCTGAATATTCCCGAGGATTTCATATCTCGCGGATTTTACTTTTCTTGAGAATAAAATCCTCCTATTCGAAACTGCCAGGGGGCAGCGTTTTCCCCGAAAATTTGGGAGCAGGAAATTCGAACTTTCGAAGAGCTGTTTGAGAGTTATTTTGACAGCTCAACTCCCGCCATTTAATTTGCGTGTTTTACACATAAAAGTGTGTTTCACATAAAAGAGTATTTCAGATTAAAGTTGTTAATAAATTAGTGCGCGGAAATTTCACATCTTTTTTTAAATTAAAGCTTAATCTTTTAACTATACGGGTAAGTTGAAAGATTTGAATTTAGATCGCGCGTTTTCTTGTAATAACCCGAAATAAGTGGGCAAATAGGATAAGAGTACCCTTTGATAAGTCCAGTTGCCACTGTGAATTTTGGAAGCCACATTATTAATAAACTAGTCCTCCGGATATTTAAATATTAGTGCAAAATTAAAACTTAGTCTTTTAACTACACATGCGAGTTGAAATATATTGATTTCAATCGCGCATTTCCATGTACTAAACCAAAATAAGTGTGCAAATACGAAAGGCTACAGTTTGCTAGGTCTAGTTTCCACTGTAAATTTTGAATTTTGGAAGCCGCATTATTAATAAACTAGCGCTGCGGAAATTTAAATATTAGTGCTAAATTAAAATGTAGTCTTTTAACTACACATGTAAGTCGAAATATTTTGATTTCAATGGCGCATTTTCATCATGTAATAAACCAAAATAACCTAGCTTCATTTGGCTTATTAAGGTTTCTACCTGTTTCTCATTTGTTGTTTTGGACCTAAAATTAAATGTTTATACGTTTTATTACACCAAATTTCCTTTAAATTGTAATTAACTTACCTTTTTGTAGCAGTTCCTTTTTAAAATACCGGTGAAAATTCTCTCAGAATAACGAAATCAATTCTCCTCCTTTTTGACATTCGTAATACCAACTTTTTTCCCGAAATACATTTTCCCTTTTTCAAAGATCGTTTAGAATAGGAGAATAGGGAAGAGAGAAAAAATCCTCAGGGAATTTTTATTTATGATAGGAGGAAAGAGAAATGAGGAAAAATTCCTAAGGAGTTTCTATTCAGAATCGGGCTGAATATTAAAATACATTCACGTGAAAAATTTTAGTAAAATAACTTTAAAACTGAGGTAATTATTAACAAAAAACCCAAAATTTAAGCAGATTTTCAAGCTCCGTTATCTCGAAAACTAGAGCCAATCTGGATAAACGGAGGACGCCATTAAATTTAAAAGATCCCAGTTAAGTAAGATCAGTTATCAAGACCTTTGCCCAGAAAAAAATTCAAAACCTGAACACAGTGTTTTAAACGACGAAAAATTCACTTTCAGAACTCTAAAACTTATCCCTAAATATCTAAAAATTTTGACGTGATACGGATTTTCTGAAAACACCATCGTAATCTAGAGGCCAAAATTAAGATTAAGTATTTGGCCGTTTAGCTGTGATATTTTTGCCTCCCTACTGTGTAATTTTTTCTTTAAATTTTTTCGAATAAAAAGGATATGATCATTCTTTTTCGCTTTATTCCGTATTCGAAAAATTAACAGCCCGATTCTGAATAGAAACTCCCTAGGAATTTTTCCTAATTTCTCTTTCCTCCTATCATGAATAAAAATTCCCTGACGAGTTTTCCTCTTTTCCCTATTCTCCTATTCTAAGTAGAATTGATTTCGTTATTCTGGGAGAATTTTCACCGGTATTTTAAAAGGGAACTGCTACAAAAATGTAAGTTAACTACAATTTAAAGGAAATTTGGTGTAATAAAACGTTTAAACCTTTAATTGTAGGTCCAAAATAACAAATTAGAAACAGGTAGAAACCTTAATAAGCCAAATGAAGCTAGGTTATTTTGGTTTATTACATGAAAACGCGCGATTGAAATCAAAATATTTCAACTCACATGTGTAGTTAAAAGACCAAGTTTTAATTTAGCACTTATATTTAAATTTCCGGAGCACTAGTTTTTTAATAATGTGACTTCCAAAATTCACAGTGGCAACTGGACTTAGCAAAGGGTACTCTTATCCTATTTGCCCACTTATTTCGGGTTATTACAAGAAAACGCGCGATATTAATTAAAATCTTTCAACTTACCCGTGTAGTTAAAAGATTGAGCTTTAATTTAAAACACAGATTTGAAATTTCCGCGCACTAATTTATTAACAACTTGAATCTGAAATACTCTTTTATGTGAAACACACTTTTATGTGTAAAACGCGCAAATTAAATGGCGGTGGTTGAGCTGTCAAAATAACTGCCAAACAGCTCTTCGAAAGTTCGAATTTCCTGCTCCCAAATTTTCGGGGAAAAGGTTGGCCCCTGGCAGTTTCGAATAGGAGGACTTTATTATAGAGAAAATTTAAATCCGCGAGAAATGAAATCCTCGGGAATATTCAGAATTGGTCTGTATATGTTTCAATGGACACCTCGATTTGAATACATAATTTAGATTTAGATAATATTTTTAGCAATTTATTTGAGAAAAGTAAAACATTTAGATTATTGTTATGATATTTCGTCGATTTAAATTTGCTACCCCAAAATAATTGATATCAAATAAAACACCTCTTTGAGGTAAAATTTTCGAGTGAAGAAAGCTGAACTATTTAGAAACACAAAATTTATGATATCAAATTCGTGACGAAAATTATACGAATTTTTTAACTGCCTTTAGTTTTTTAAACTATAATTTTATTTTATTTATTCGTTGCGAAATTCCGTTTACTGCTAGAAACACAAAATAAAAAACAGAACTTTTGCACCGATTTGTATGAATAAAAAAGATTTTCCCTACGTTTCCAAGGCAGTTAAAAAATGCGTATAATTTTCGTCACGAAATTTATGTCATAAATTTTATGTTTCTAGTTCAGCTTTCGTCACTCGAAAATTTTACCTCAAAGAGGTGTTTCATTTGATATATAATACCTTGCGAGAGGCAATTTCGCACAGAAAAAAATCAATATATTCGCGAAACCAAGGGCCAAATGTAGTAAAATCGGGCTCTTAATTTTTCTCTCTGAATTTAAAAGATGTGAGTAATTCAAAAAATTTCAGTGCAATGTACTGAAAAAACCTGTATGGGTATTAAATCAAAGAGAAGATTTTGTAGAGTTAAAACAGATTACATTTCTTGGTGCTGAAGGGACGGGTAGGTATTGAAAATACCCTTTTATAATTTTATCCTTGAATATGCTTGAAATTTTGCAATTTTTATTTTTGAAAAAATTATATGCTAAGGACTAACTTTACTAGCTTAAAAAATAAAACAGATTAAAGGGCCATTTTAAATTTCTATTCGTCCTTGTGAACCCCAAAAATTCTTTCATTAGGTGCCCATATTTTTGATTTACATTGCCTTGTATTTTTTAAATAAGTTTTGGAACTCATCATATCTTTGAAATTAGAAAGCCTTAAAAAAATCTTGAGGTCAAAGAAATGCCCATTTATATGCAGTTAATTAGATGTAATATGAGTAAGACTTTTATAAAAAAATGTAATTTTTGAATAAACAAAAGGAATGTGTATGGACAAATCTGGTCCTTTTAAAGCGCTTCTTTTATTTCTGCCATTAGTATTATGAACTTTCAACCAGAAAATAAATTTCTCGACTTATATATGTACACGCAAAAGTATTATTTAATGCATATAAATTTAATTACTGTCTTTCGTTTTGTTACTTATAATTTAATTTTCACTTAAAATAAGAAAGTGCGTTCCAAACCCATTTACTAATTATTTATTACATGGTGGGAGAACTTCTCAAACCATATTGATTCATTTTTTCATGTAAAGTTGTTTAAAAATAATAAATATCTAAATCCCGAAATTGCGGGATTGAACCAACGACATCCCGAAAATCCCGGGATCGTAAAAATCGAAAAATATAACATCCCTAATACTTACCCTGGGATAGTGCACGAAATGTAGAGTATCCAGCAATACCGAAGAGGGCAGCTACGGCCAAAGCGAATCCGATCGAAACGTGCGTGACTTTCTCCCATCGTTCTAGTGTCGCATTCCTCATAGACTGATAAACCAAAAATGTGTTGTGGTGGCACATAAATGCTGCAATCACAGTCAAGAACAGCCGTGGAAAATACAAAAAGATAGCAATTGCGGTTAAGTGATTACATACATATGTATATATACGTACAAACATTTTATATCGTCGTTTAAAGTAAAAAACCGCGTATCAACAAAATGCAAAACCGCGTATGTGAGGTTGCATCAGTTATTTTAGCTTGTGTGAGCAAATCCAATTTTCGGCAGCCAATGTCAGTTACGCGGTTTTGCAGAATGACGATACGCGGTTTTGTACTTTAAACGACGATATAGGTAATTACATACTTTAATCACGGTTTCAACTTACAATAAAAATAACCAACCAGAATCTGAAGAAAAAACAACCAAATTGAAAAGAACAACAACCAAATTTGCTACCCACTTATCTATTACTCAAAGCAAAACTTATTAAAAAAACAAAAATTCAGCAATTTTATTGAGCTTGAGGGCGTTTTTTTTAATGACGATTTTGTGGAAAAACAATATTAATTTACAGTTTGGTAGAAGTTATAGCTGCTATTCCGGAAATCAGAAATATTTAAATACTTGCGCGTTCAATCACATATTTACTTTACTTTTATTAGAGCCTTCGATTTCCCGAGATTGTTCTCGCGAGGATCGCTTACTCACAAGATTCTCGTGTATCGAAAAACTCGTTATACTCGCGAGCTTCTCGATGATCAATTAAAGGCATCGTATTTAATTTAGGGTATTTAAACCCTTAACTGTTGAATTTCTTTCATGTGCAATCTCGTCGCTCTCCAGAATATCAGCCATGTGCATGTTCTTTTCCAGTGAGGTCTGTATTGTCCAACCATATGGAAGAGCTTTACAAATATCAGATTCCACTATTCTTCTCCATTTATTACTTTTGCTCACTTTCTTTGGTGGAGCCATCAAACTCGAATAATACAGAGACATACATACATACACAGCCTATACATCGAACTAAATTCTTCTTATACGCACAAACGTTTTTCTTTTTAACCGACTTCCAAAAAAGGAGGAGGTTATCAGTTCGTCGGAATATTTATTTATTTATTTTTTTTTTTTTTTTTTGATGTATGTTACCGCATAACTTTGGACCACGTCAACCGATTTCGATAATTCTTTTTGCATCGGAAAGGTAGTGTCTCAGAGGTGGTTAATCTCTCAGATCTGGTTAAGATCCGATCAGCGGATCATGAGATATATATATATATTTTTGTTTTATATGGGAGTTGAAGTCGGTTTTTTTTTCTAAAAATTACTAGTTATTTAACATTTACACATAAAATTTTCTGGCTTTGTTTTTAATACGTGCGATATGCTCTTACATACATACGGACTAGGGATGTTGCGAATGTGGAATTTTCGACATCCGCGGATTCGAATGCGGGTGCGAATATCTAACAGCTAACATCCGCGGATGCGGATGCGAATGCGGATGTTAAGTATTTTTAAGAAAAAATTAGAATCTAGGATATGGCGAGATCGTTGTTTAAACAGTGCTTACAAGTCAAACCAGATACATATGTCAGGTTTTTCTAAAGCTTTTTAAAAAGAATTATTCATTCTCACTTTTTTGTCTGTTTAAGAATTTGGGCGTCTGTAACTTCATCAGTGTTTTTCGATTTCAGTTTTTGTAATTCATTTTTAATACTTTCTTCTGCGACTGGTTTGAAAAATTTGTGCTTATAGCGAGCTAAATAGGTGTATATGGAAAATAAAATGTTATTATCCAGGAATGCAAATTTTGAACAAAATTATGTTTTCAAAGTCGTGGCTGCCAGCAGAATCGGATCAGAATATTGTTATTTTTTTTAAAAAGGACCCCGTTTTTTAAAAGCATTTGAATCTCAGACAGTTAAGTAATTCTTATCTTATTAAAGGTCCTATAGCTTTTTAATAATTGAGCATCGATTCTCTTTATAGCCAAGCGTTGATCATTTCTGTTGGAAATCCATATTGAAGAAGCTTACTCTTTGACTTTAAATAGCAAAGAAGGGAGAGTTTTACCACAGAAGTTTTTAGCCAAGGATCCAACGTATATCCAACTACGAAAAAAATATTGCCCGACAAGTAAACAAAATTACTGATTTTAAAATTTTTGATAAAAAATAAATTCCCCAAAGAGCCCCAGTGAAATTAAATATACGAATATATGTAACATCAAAAGCAAATCACGAACATATGGTTAAGAATAACAGTGCACACTTTCTTCTTTTGTGTCTAGACTTTTTTTTAGATTGATTCAAAAAAATCATAATAAAGAAAGAAACCAATGCAGGTATTTAAAGCACAGAAAAAAAAATTATTTAAAGGACTATGTTCTCTTTGACGTACGCCAAAGGTCAAGTAGAAGTGGGAATTTGTATGACTGTCCATTGAAAACTCGGTTATGTAGCTTAATAAATAATATGTTTAAAGACATTTTGATCAAAGTTGATTATATGATATTTGACCAGTTTTGTTACGCAAATACTCCCACGACTACAGGCAAAAATATTGGCTACAATTTATCATTTTGTTTGCCATATATACGTTTTATCGATGCATTCGCACAACATTCGCATTCGCAAAAGCTCCGCATTAATTATTGCGAATGCGAATGTTAAAAATAATGCGGAAGTTCCGCGGTTGCGAAGGCGAATGCAACAACCCTGATACGTACATAGGTCTCGATAACTACACGGTCAAAAATTTGGGTTTGATTTTTAAACCGCGCTGGGACTACTGCCTTTTTTAGTCTTTTATAATCTACTTTTTAAACCAGTCCATAGATTTAAGCAATTTTTAATATATTCTGGTTTAAATTTTAGTCCGAAAAGTTCTTGGTTTAAAAATCAAATTAAAATGTTGCAATTCTAGTTTATAGGTTTCATATATAGAAAATTTGGTTTAAAATCTAAACCGAAATAGAAAATGTAGTGTTGATTCAAACTCAACATATGAAAGCACAATTACATGCGTGGCTGTAGCTGAGTGTGCAAAGATGCGTGATACAATTGGTTGCTACCAAGGCTGTCCGGGTTCAATCCCCATCAGACCTTTTTATTTTTTATTCTTAATTATGAAAATGTCTGCGTTTAAAATTTAAACCGAACTGTTTAAATTCTAAACCTAACATATGTGCTCTCTTTTTTAAACTTGGAAGGTTTGTATTTGAAACTGAATTTGGTTTGGATATATATATAGTCCATAAAGTTTAAAATTAAAACCGAAATTTTTAACCGTGTTCTCGAAATTGCTCGTGTGAATGGCGATACCCGAGATTGTGTCGGGAACTCGATTACTCGATTTCCCGGGTATATAAATGCTCGAGAATGTGCGAGCAGAGATCGAAAGCCCTACTTTTTGTATGCGCATATAAAACATGTTACATTAAAAATTGTAATTTGAAAAATTCATTTATTCATTTATGGCATTCAGAATGCAATAATTATTTTTGTAAAGAAAAAATGTGCAAATTTCTAATAAAAAAAAAAACAACCAAACCAGAGAAAAAACTACCAAACAACCAAATTTGAAAAATTAAATAAAAACAACCAAGTTTGTTTGGAAACAACCAACAGTGGCAACCGTAACTTTAATATCGTCATGCTCACGTATTAAGTAGTATGTACTAGTATTCGGCCAATTAAGATTTTTTAAATAATTCCGATCTCAATACTTTAAGGGCCGGTTGCTCAAAGCCTGGTTGACAGTAATCATCGGTTAACATCGTTATCGACGTTTTCGACTCCAGGCATATAACACGGTGTCGGTAACGTCGATAACGATGTTTAACCGGTGACTAGTGTCAACCAGGCTTTGAGCAACCGGCCCTAAGGGTGTTAAAAAGGAAGACAAAGATGTTCATTCATTCATTTTATTTAACCCTGCTTATAAACTGTATGTTTTTAGCAGGCTTTCTAATAATTACATTTGAGTTTACATATGTGAGAGTTACGTAATTATTCGCAAATGTATTAAAAGTGGAAGTATTTTACGAAGTATTAAAAAATAAAAAGTTTCAGTAGTTTACACAATTTAATCATTTAATATGTTGGCTCTGAATGGCAAACAGTTAACGTCATAGAGGTACACCATCCTGACTGTAAATTGGTCTGCCAATTGGAATATATGCATTGGATTGCTTTCAGATTCCTTTAGAAGTGGTCCTAGGTAGTAGTCCCTAAAAGAACAATAAATTGGGCACTTGAAGAGCAGATGCTCTAGGCTTTCCATTTTATCTGAATTGCACTGGGTACATAAAGCATTTGGGTCTATTTTATAAACCAGGCCTTCGATGCAAAACCTTATGTAGTACTTCGTCGACAGGCGAACTTGGCCAAGCATTTTACTCATGTAGAAGTTTTTCCTAAAGAGAAGATATGGGGCCACACTTTCGTCGAGTGATCGTAAAATTTTGCAGTTCATGGAGGGAGAATTGGAACAGCTTAGTACATCCTGAAATTTTAAAAGACGATCAATGCGCTCAAAAGCTAGTTGCTCTAAAGCTTTCCAGGCATCCGAGCTCAGCGTCTCCCATATATGAGATAAACCAATTTTGTTTGAGAATTGTGTTACCCAGTTGCATTCAGGTTCCGCATTTGTGTTTAAATGATAATAAACCAAATTTTTGTTCCATTTCCAGTAGAGAGATTATATATTTCCAACCCATTTTAAATATTTTTGATTCGACAAAGATGTGTGAAAAGTCGTTGACGTAGTAATGTATTTGTACATAAATAAGATAAGCTGGTGAGCCAGTGGCGGATCTAGAGTGCAATTCTAGTGCAGGAACTTTTATAATGATGTACCTTATTCAATGATTGTTTCAACATAAAACTTTATATTTATATTTTTTATGCATATGTATGTACATTAGGGTGGTCCAAAATAAGTAAAGTCGGAATTTTAATGCTCTCGCCCCTAGGAATGTTCTATGTTTATCGAAAAAATATACCCCATTTTTTATTTTCAAATCAAAAAAATAGTTAGAGGACGCTCAAAGTTTTTCATGTATTTTATATGGGAAA